GGAGGTCAGCCCCCAACCTGTACTGGTGCATGGGGTTATTCCTCCCCAGATGCAGTACCCCACACTTGCCCTTGTTGAACTTCATAAGGTTTTTCTCTGCCCAACTCTCCAGCCTGTCCAGGCCACGCTGAATGGTGGCACAGCCTTCCGGTGTGTCAGCCACTCCTCCCAGGGTGCCCTCGGGGAGATGTGCCAGCAGCCAATGGGATGCCAAGGAACCTTTCCTCCAACGTGGCCACCAGTGGGTCACAGTGCTCCACTGAGGACACCTAAGGCACCAGGGCCCTCTCTGAGATGGTTCCTCCTCCTCCTCCCCAGGCACTGGCCATGGCCACCCCCAGCACAAACACCGACGTGGCAAAGCCAACGCGTGCAGTCCTAGTGCACAGTGGAGGGACAGGATGGGACCGAGCCACGGGCACAGCAGCACCCCCTGACATTTGATGGCATCTATTTCTCTTCCTTAAGCAGCTCCCAAGCTGATGGGCAAACCAAAAAGAACAATCCAGAGCACCAGGAACAATAAACCCAAGGGCTGTAACATTTCAGGAGAGAAAAATTAAATTAAGGAAAAAAAAAAAATCAATCCAGGAGGTCTCATCCAGGCAGCAGCCGGTGTTTTGCCCCGCAAACCGCACACAGCACCGCTCCGCAGCACCATCCCTCCCTCCCTCCTCCCGCAGCCCTGGCTGCCGCCGAACCGCGTGGGGCTCCCGGGAGGAAAGTACGGAGAAGGCTTTGCATTTGCCCGTCGCCCACATTCACGCCGTCCCTGACACCAGGTGCCTCCAGCAGGATTCCATTTAAGCCCACGAATAGAAACCGCAACTCTGCTCCGAACCAGCCAGCGCTACCTCTGAGCAACAGAAACCAAAAAAAAGAAAAAAAAGAAAAAGAAAAGCCTGTGGGGATGTACCGACAAGTGGAACCCCCCCAAAACACGAGCTATGAAAGCCAAGGAGCTTTTGGATACCGGCACCACAATGGTGATGCCGGTATCCAAAATCCCTGCAAGGAGGATTAGGAAGATCATAAAAATCAGCAGCTTTTAAAGGAAGAAACACTTTCCGCTTCTCACAATGTGTTGGGTTTATTTTCCCCACCGATGTCGAATGCCTTTACAGCGGAGGATGACTGGGATGGGAACTGAGGGCATGTGGTCCGCGGGGTCCACGGTCCGTAAATGCCCTGAAGAGCATTAGGGGACGACCAGGACTCGGCAGGATGGTAAATAAACCTCCATCCACACCTCCCGACTGGAAGAGCTCCTCAAAGTGTTTTTGCAAAGGCATAAAAATCTCTGAGGGTGACAAACCAGACGTACACGAACCTGCACCGCGGGAGAGGACCCACTGCGTGGTGGGGCAGGGCTGGAGGTCCGTGCCCCGCTGATTTCCCTGAGCAACACTGCCAGCGAAAGAGGAGAAAAACCCCACAAGTGGAAAGGCTGATGCTAAAACCCGATTATTTCCAAACCTTTCCTCTAAGAATAACGAGAGATGTCACCCTCAGACACCCACCCCCCCTTGTGCCCAGGTCCCGGTTGCAGGGCTTTCCGAGGGGACGCCGCAAGAGGGTGAGCGGCAAGCCCAGCACCCATCACCGCTGCCGAAAGCAGAGGTAAGGCAAAGTCCCATTCCCACAGGAAAACCCCCAAATTCCTTTTAATGAAGTTTTCCAAGGCAAGGGCACCAATTCATTGGTTTCCCTTCCACGGGATACATTTAAACACCCAAAGCATCCATCACACCTTTGCGGGCATCACCACGAGCACTGGCCAGGGCAGCAGCGAGGCGTGTGGGTACGAATTCAGGGTGCCCAGGCTGGGCAGCAGCCCCAAAACAGGCTCTGAGGTGCCCAGAATCCCCACAGCTCAGGATGGGGCTTGGTGGGATGGAGACCCGAGGAGGCAGGAGGACCTTTGGGGACCAGCAGCGAGGGCAGAGCCCACCTGCCCTCAGCCCTGAGGAGCGGTAACAAAACATCCGGAAAGGTTGGCAGGCTCAGCGCGTAATTTTAGCGAAAATAATAGCTCTAACCGTGCACGGCATGTGCCACTGCAGAGCTTCAAGCCCACACCCGCTGGCGCCACCATCTCAAACCCAAACTCCTAATGGCAGGGGGGGGCCGCCTGTAGCTGTGTTTCCAACCCAGGATGCTCAGGACCAAGAGAAAACCCACCTCAACGCTTTCTACAGTGGGGAAAAAGCAATTCCCTCCCAGCTGGGTCCCCTCCTCGCGCTTCCGCCTCTCCCGCCGGCTGACAGCAGGGCTGTCAAATGCCGTGACGTTTCCTCCACTCCCGGGATTTTTTCATCCTTCAGCATCTGTTCCTTTTGCCATTTTTCTTCTATTTTCGCAGGCAATAGCTGCAGCAGCAAGGAGGTGGCTGGAGGGGGAAGCTAGCAGTCCTAAATTTAACCGTTATCCGATGAAGCCCGGCTCATCGATGATGAATTTAGTGCCAGGTCCCTCAAACACAGCCGTACAAACAGCCCCGTGCGGGGACCTGCCCTGCAGCACCCAGATGACCCCCCAGAGCAGCCCCAAGCTCCGGGCATCCCAGACGGCTTTCGCATGGGTGTCTGCCCAGGGCGGAGGAGAATGTGCCCGTGGTCACGTCTGGCAGCGGCACTGGGTAAACGAAATGTAATTTTCTAGAGGATTTGTTAAGAAAACTTAACCGAATTAGGGAAATCATTTCAGCAGAAGAAATAAACATGGAAAAATATGTAAAAACATTTTTCAGCTCCTGCTCAATGAAGACTGATAACTTCTCTAAAGATTTATCTATTCTCTGTTTACTATTTTTTTAATTTCCCTTTTTTTCATCCACTACAACGGATGAATCATCTGAAAAATTACCAAAACCTATTTTCAAGACAAATTCAATGCTCTGCTTCGAACCACCGCAAATTTGGGGATGTCACAGCCATAGAGAAGCAAAGGACAGCGACGCCAGCGGGGCCATGGGCTGACCCCTGGGGTCTGCTGCGGGGACGGGGGCTGGAGGACACGGCTTAGCCCCACTCTGAGCCCCTCAACCTGCCTCTGGGCAGGACCAGGGTGAGGTGAAAACCGACAGCGTGGTTAAATGACTTCAGACCATCTCTAGGGCAGGGGGGATAAGGGAATCATCATCTTCTCTCCAGTCGCCAGTGAAGCCAGTGCCCAACTCTGCAGGGGAAGATGCACCCCCCCCCAGCCCTCCCCTCCCACAGCCATCGTCTCCACCACTCACCGGCAGCCCTGGTGGTCCTGGCAGCCCCGGAGGTCCCGGTTTCACATGGCCCCGCTGCCTGTGGGCCACCGGCGAGATGGGGTGTCCCAGGCGGGCAGCGCCGTCCCCAAGCCCTGGGACAGCGGGGCTGGCCGCTACCCGGGGATGCTCAGGGACACCCACAGCTGACCCCGTCCCCAGGGGACCTTTGGGGGCAGCTGCCCGAGGCACCGATGGGGAGACCTTGGCAAAGGTGGCAGGCACGTCCAGGTCAGTGATGGCATCACCGGGTTTGCCGGGCGAGAGCTGCCGCCAGGTGCCCGCGTCGCCCCTCAGCTTCTCCGTGGTGACGTTCTCCTCCCCGGGGTCAGAGGCTGGCTCCTTCTTGGCTGCTCTGTGTGTTTTGATGGAGGGTCCTGGGCAGACAAAAGCACCATCAGGTACCCAGGCATCACAACGGTACACAGGAGAAATGGAGGACACCATGACTATGGACTCACCGGAACTACCAGCGACCCACGGGCTGCTCCTGCCAAACCCTGGCCTGCCGGGGCCGGTGATTTTGTTGTAGGTGGAGTTCAACAGCTCAAAGCCTTCATCCTCAATAGAAAGGCTGCCCTCCTCCTCCTCCTCAGCTGACGGCATCTCTGCAGCAGAGAGTGAAGTCAGGGCGCTCCCATCAGGCTGGAGGTTGAGGGTCTCCTGGGCGTCCTCCCACGTCCAAGGCGGCCCCAGGGTCAAATCTGAATTGGTGAGTCTGGAGTCCTGAAAAAGAAGAAGGAAAAAAAAAGAAATTTGAAATTGAGCCTTTGCTGCTCAACACACTTGTGCTGCTTAATTTCCCACGTGCGGGAATGCTGCTGCCGGGGATGAGGCAGCTCCTGGCTTGCGAGCCGCAGGCAGGACCCCCCGAGCTCCGGAGCAGCTCCTCAGCAATGGGCAGGTCAGTTTGGCCACATACAAAACCAAACTCGCCCTCCGCAAAGGACACGAGCCAGTTGTCAGCGTGGCCCACGCTAACACGAACCTGCTTCTCACAGTTCCACCGCAATGATCCCCCAACACCATTTTTGATGCTGGAAGAACATCGAGAGAAGAGCCCATAACCTAATGAGAGAAATCCAAGCTTGAGAGCAATTACTAAAACAATTAAAGCAAATGCATAGAGTTATACTGGGGATCGTTCTGCCCCTTTGGCCTTTGATTTTGCTGCTTCAAGGCTCCCGGTGGTCTCAGGGGAATGGTACAGGAGCTTGTAGCCCCCACCACACATCTCCTCCCCGGCCAAGGAGCTGCAAACCTGGCAAACCTCCATGAGTTGGGTTGGGTTGGGAAGGGAAGGGAAGGGAAGGGAAG